CACCCGCCTGCCCGCCTGCACGTCCACACTCACACATGCACGCACACCCACACACACGCCCACAGACGCACGCACGCGCACACACACACACGTATGCTCGCACGACCGCACCCACATGCACGCACACACGCCCCCACCCACACGCCCACACACCCACACCCCCTCCCGCCCGCCCGCACGCACGCCCACACACACCGACACACACACACACACCGACACACACACACACACGCCCATGCCCACGCCCACACACACACACACACGCCCACGCACACGCCCATGCACACGCCCATACTCGCCCGCACACACACACACGCCCACACACACCACCACACGCCCACACACACCCCACGCACGCACGCGCGCACGCACGCACACACATGCCCCCCCACACACACACCCACGCCCGGCCGGCCGGCCGCACACGCCCTCACACCCGCGCACGCGCCCCGCCCGCCCACGCTCGCACACACGCATGCAGGCACACACACCCGCACACGCCCTCACACCCGCGCACGCGCCCCGCACGCATATGCACGCACGCACATACGCAGGCACGTCCACACGCACGCCCCCACACGCCCCCACCCTCACAGCCACACACACCCACGCTCGGCCGCCCGGCCGCCCCGCCCGCACGCACACGCACGCACACCCGCACACCTGCCTGCACGTCCACACTCACACACGCATGCACACACGCACGCCCACACGTCCGCACACACACACACACCCCCACGCACGCTCGCACTCCCGCACATGCACGCATGCATGCACGCCTGCACGCACGCCCCCACCCACACACCCACACACACACACACACACACTCCCGCTCGTACGCCCGCACACACGCACACATACACGCACGCACGCTCGCATGCCCACATGCACGCCTACCCACACACCCACACACACACACACTCACGCACACGCGCACACGCATGCATGCACTCTTGCAGCCACACACTATTTAACTATTTATCTATTTAGTTATTTAACTATTTATCTATTTATATATGTATCTATTTAACTATTTATTTATTTAGTTATTTAACTATTTATCTATTTATCTATTTATCTATTTTACTAATTATCTATTTAACTATTTATCTTTCTTTTTTTGAAAAGAAAATCTTTTATTGAATGAAGGAAAGAGTACAATATGCAGAAAGACATGAAAGACAAGAAAAAAGAAATTGAAAGAAAAATGACAGTACGAACTATGCCCATGGAAAGTTTTTGGACTGTGATCTAGTTGTCATACTATGACGCCTTTTGTTCTTCTGAGTTTTTCTATAGATTTTGAGTTGCGTATTTAGATTATCTGTTGGCAAGCATGTGTCTAGAGTGACAAATTGGGATTTATAGCAAATCTCTCTGTTGAAGCTAGAATCTCGTATGTCTTCGCGGCTGGAGATGGGTAGTCGTCTGTCGCTTTCTGTTGCGTGTCCGAGGAAGTCATCTGAAAAATATGAGTCATCAGAATGATCAAAGCTGTCTGACGCATCTGAGTAGGCTTGAAGCAGCAAATGCTTGGTGTGATTTTTAGGAAGAAGAGGCTGTTGAAACGTGTGTTCGACTGCTGTGATCTGTGCATTAAAGATTCTTTTGGATATAGATGTGACCTCCTCAGAGTCTGGCGTGTTTGTGGGAACTTTAAGCGTCGGGTCCTCCTGTGCTAAATTAAGTAGACCCACAAAATTAGAAAATATTGTCAGGAAATTGACTAAGCTGGAATTTGTTTGGCCCGTGGGAATGAGTATGGAGCTCCTCTTTTCCTTGGTCAATTTCACGTAGCAACCAGATCTATACAATTCTGAAGAGACCGTGATAGATCCAAATTGGTTTTTTTGCCTGTTTTTAAAAAGATCAATACTGGTGAGCTGTGTCAAAAACCGAATGATTTGGCGTGCAGCTGCAAAATTAAAAGTAATCCTATGCATAAAGGATTTTTTTATTTCAAAAATGTTAATTTCATTATTTTTTACTGCAAATTTAAAAGTTTTTGATTCAATTTTAATTGAATCAAAACCTTCTTCGCCAAAAAAATTGAATTGATCTATGACCTCGGTTGGATCTATCACAGCCGTGGTGGGGGGTTCGTAGCTGACTAATGTGTCATTTGGAAAGGATTCAGCTAGGCCGCCAGAAATTTGATTTGAGGGCGTTGATTGGTCCTTTTTTGTCCTTAGCAAGTCAGCCCATGTGAGGAGTTTGGGAGCTTCGTTTACTTTCAAATTTCCAGACTGTCGTCCGCTAACCTTCTGCGTCTGTGGTCCCTGTGATGGAGACAGTGATGTCTCGCCTCTCCTTCCGGCCAAGTTTCCGGTTGCCGGCGTGGATATTGACGGAGAGACTGACGGATTTTCGGTAGCGATTCCCGTAGCAAGTGATTTCAGCAGAGCTGCCGACGGGTTTCCTCGATTTTCTTGTCCGGCCTCTGGATTGATGAGATTTCCAGGTCGAAATTGATTTCCATTCCGGATTCGGCCGGCCCCACCTATTGCGTTCCCTGTACGTTGGTCTTTATTGATGTAGGTTTGTTTACCTCTGGAACCATGAGAGTAATACAAACGATTCTGCTGGTTTTGCCTTTCAACTTTTAACTCCTGTGATTGTTGAGAAGAGCTAGGAGGATAAACCTCCATGTCTAAGAAGAAAAAACGATTAGCCTTACCTTCTGGCTTGGCATTGTCACGATAGTGCTTCGTAGATCGCTGGGTGAGAATAGGTTCTTGATTGGAACGGCCACTGGGACGCCATCGTTTGTGGCGTACAATGCTCCAAGAGCTTGCTGGGTCCTCTGCGTTTAGCCTGGTGGGAGCAGTTGTGTGACACCGCACCCAAACGTCCTTGAAGATTTGATTTAAATATTCAAAGTTTATGTATTGGATTTCTGATTCCCAAACAATTGTAAAACGATTAATGTTTTACGCAATTAATGATCGAATATTGTACTGTTCAAACTCGTACATTAGTGTCGGGTTTTGAAAATACTTATTCGGGACTTATTAATAAATAAAAGAGCCCAACATTATCTAAATAGTGATACATAATCTTTCAAGACAATTTGAGGAAGGTCGGGCGGCCCAAACATTATTTTGGGCCCAACCTGCTAAAAATAGCAAGTATTCGAGAATGGCGTTCTAGACCCACTCGGGGGTGACCCACACGGCTAATAGCCCAATAATATGTATGACAAATGTCAAATAAGTGATAGAATGATTAAAGAAAAATACAAATGCCTATAACCCCATCTTTGGCATTATTGAGCTAAATAATGGGAGTAGGATTTTCCTTCTATAATATCCATCAAGTAAATTATTGGGATGAGCCTACACATATTGGAGATCAATAATGTGATTTAGGAAGTTGACTTGTTCTAAATAAATTAGGATGAGTACAAAAAGACATCTTTTGACAAAGATAAAACAATAGGACCCATTTTCCCCATTTTTGGAAGTATTGGTAGATAATTTGGATCCCAAAATGATTGGGATCAATTGGGAACCACTCCACATGATATTAGTACCTGCAAGACAAATAAAAATGGGTTAGGAGACTTACCTTGGCCGGCCATTATGGAGGAGAGATGCACATGACTTGATAAGAATCAAAGTTTGGGCCACCACTCTTATTTTCGCACAAATTGGTGTGCTGTTTGTCTCCTCTCATTATAGGAGCTATCCTCAACCAAATAACGTGTATGAGGTGTCCTTGGATAGAACTTGAAGTGTAGTTTCATAATTGAGTGGTCTTTGTTCGAGCAGAGAGAGCTTATCTTACAAAAATCGAGCTGGAGTGAGTGGTGGTCTGTGAACTCGAGCTGTGAGAGTGCTGAGACTGTTTGGTTGATATCTCGAGTTTTACCAATTCAATTAAGGCGTGTGAGATACCAAAAGAAAGCTCTCAAGACGAGGAATCCGTGAAGGTCTGGTTTGCATCAATCGGAGTAGAGGAAGGCTTCCAAATCGTCCGAGCAGAACGCGACCTCGCAGGAACGGATTTACTCTTCTAAGTGAGTTGTTAATCCCAAAACCTTTCCATTCATTTTCCAAAGGATAAGAACGATTGGTGGGACTATTATACACTACTCCAAGTGTATAAAACGTCCCTATTAAGTTATTTTATTGATGTAAAGGTTAGATACTAACCTAGATGCAAATATTGGAAAACTAGGAATCGAGTTAGCCGGAAAACACTCGTTCTAGGGGTTGTTTTCGTATCAACGATTAGGGGTTGAAATAGCAACTTGAGGAGGCTGTTTAGCACCCATTTTCAAGCAAGGAACTAGTTCCCAATCTTCCTTGGCCGAGGCTTTGGTCATTGGATCGAGGAGGAAGGTTTTAAAGCTCATTTGAGGTGAGGATCGACATCTAGTTGCTTACAACTTGTAGGTTAAGCATGAGATTACCTAAATGCCCAAATAATGTTTTCCATGGATTATGATGATAAATTATTGATGGAATATTGATCTATTTTCCAAAGAATGAAATGAGAAATGATTTGGCAAAGTATTGATAAAAATGGAGTTAAAAGAACTATTGTGTGAAATAGTCATTTTACTCATGTGTGAATTGTGTAGATACATAAATGATTATTTATGTATTACATTGAATGATTAAGTTGCTGCTACATATCTCTAAATATGTAGGGTTTTATAAATGGAATATATGATGGATAAGAATAATCTTAATAGTATGGAAATACTAGTTAATGATTGTTGTAATTGTTAAGGGAATTGAATCTAAGGATTTGATTATAATTGATGTACTTGATTGTGATGCAAGTGACAAATTTGATGTAATGTGATGCTAAGACCATGGTTGGGCAGTCCGTAGGGATGTCCCAAAATAGATTATTGATATTACAATTCTAGGCATAGTGAGTGCTTAGGAATTGGGGTCTATGCCAATGTAAGGAGATGTACTTGAGCCCGTGCTCATAGAATTGCATTGGGTAGACATGATGAGGTGATTGTTGTGCATGGTGATGTAGTCGAGTTGAACTCGAGAAATGCACGGTGGAGTAGTTAGCTTATGTTAATTAAGGTGCATGGTGATGTAGTCGAGTTGGACTCGAGAAATGCATGGTGGAGTAGTTAGCTTATGTTAATTAAGGTGCATGGTGATGTAGTCGAGTTGGACTCGAGAATGCAAACATATGTGTTAGGGTTGAACCCTATGTATTGTTGTGACTAGGGGTCACGGGATTTTGGGGTATGTTTGATAAACAAACCTTGGGCCTACCGGCCGACTACTTGATTTTATATATAAAGTAAGTATATTTTAAAACGGGGTAACTTGGGGTTACGGCCTAGATTATATTATCACCCTATTTGAGGGTCTTGTGTTTGAAATACTGGTTGTATATCTATTAGATGCCATCCACACCAGCACTCTATAGCCCTATAGAGTGCTGACCCCTTCGGGGGCGTCTCACCACCATTTTTCAGGTTGAGGCTAGAGCTTGCTTCCTGTGCTCGTTGCTTGAGAGATCATATAGGAGGGAAGACTTGGTTCGTGCTTCCTCCATTCTGTTTTTAAACATTAATAAACATGCTCATGGATATTTTACTATAGAGCCTGCGTGCTCATGAATAGCCATGTGTGGCCTTTTGTTTTAAACAATGTTTTCCGCTGCGTTATGAATTACTTATTATGTTTGTTTATGGATGTACATGTGTGAATGATATTCAAGACGCCTTGTATAATATGAATGTGTTGGACTGCGGTTGACTATTCGTATTGTATGGCGGGTTGTTGACGTGTCCGGATAGGCCCGGGGCGTGACAAGTTGTTCGTTCCTGGTGCTGATACTGCTTGCTTTCTTCGAAGGGATGATGGATTGGATACAAATCATGGTAGTACCAATCCGGCTTGAAATCTGGGCACGTTTCATAGTACCAATTTGGATTGTGATATTGGTTGAAGCAACTCCTTGCTACTGCTCCAGTGTCCTTGGGTCTGCTTACAGAACATCCTACGGGATGAGAGAACTGATACTGATCGCGGCAACCTGTGCTGAAATGGGGAGAATTCCAGCAACAGCAGAAATGATTTCTATTGATGTTGCGGTAAGGATTCCGGCGTTGATGCCGGAAATCCATTTGGGAGTTAGGACTTGGTCGGATTTTTAGTGAGATAAGGGTGTTTCTCTCTCATCTTATCCAGTAAAAGTAGTTTACCTTATGCATATTGCATAAATGATGACCATTCATTTAACTATTTATCTATTTAACTATTTATCTATTTACCTATTTATCTATTTATTTATTTATTTATTTATTTAACTATTTATGTATTTATCCATTTAACTATTTGTCTATTTATCTATATATCTATTTACCTATTTAACGATTTATCTATTTATTTAGATAACTATTTATCTAGTTAACTATTTATCCATTTATCTATTTATTTATTTATTTATCTATTCAGCCACACACGCCCGCCCGCCCGCTCGCCCGCGCACACACGCATACACGCCCTCCCACTCACGCACGCACGCACGCACACACGCCCACAGACGCACGCACCCACGCCCGCACACACGCACGCACACACACATGCCCCCACCCACATCCACACACCCACACACACCCACGCACGCCCGCCAGCCCGCCCGCACGCACGCACATGCACGCACGCCCACACGCACCCCCACCCACAAACCCACACACACCCATGCTTGGCCGCCCGCACGCCCGCACGCACTCTTGCTCCCACGCACACACGCACACCCGCCCCGCCCGCCTGCACGTCCACACTCACACACGCACGCGCACACGCACGTACCCCCCCCCCCCACACACACACACGCACGTCCGGACACACTGACACACACACACACACACACACACACACACACACACGCCCACTAGCACGCACACCCACACACACACACACACACACACACACACACACGCACGCACGCACGCCCACCACACGTGCACACACACACACCCGCACCCACGCACTATTTAACTATTTATCTATTTAGTTATTTAACTATTTATCTATTTATATATGTATCTTTTTAACGATTTATCTATTTGGTTATTTAACTATTTATCTATTTATCTATTTATCTATTTAACTATTTATCTATTTAACTATTTATCTATTAACCCATTTATCTATATATCTATTTATTTGTTTATTTATTTATATATTTAACTATTTATGTATTTATCCATTTAACTATTTGTCTATTTATCTATTTAACTATTTATCTATTTATCTATATCTATATATCTATTTACCTATTTAACGATTTATCAATTTATCTAGTTATATATCTATTAAATAATTGCACGTCCACACGCACGCACGCACGCACGCACGCACACACACCCACGCACGCCCGCACTCCCGCACGCACATGCACGCACGCATGTATTCCTACACGCACGCCCCCACCCTCACACCCACACACACAAACGCACGCGCCCGCCCGCCCGCCCACGCTCGCACACACGCACGCAAGCACACACCCCCGGACACATACACACACACGCACCGCCCGCACACACATGCACGCACGCACATACGCAGGCACGCCAACACGCACGCCCCCACCCACACACCCACACACCCCCACCCCCTCCCGTCCGCCCGCCCGCCCGCACGCCCACACACACCGACACACACACACACACCCATGTCCACGCCCAC